ATATTTCAGAAAATCGATAGAGCTCTGGTCTCAGGGCCCAGGACTCCTGCCCACATGTCCTGGATGCCCTCCGTTGATCGGCCTAACGACTGGCGCTCCTGATGCCTTTGCCTCTGCTTCTGCCATTTATCCCCACCTCCGGCGGCCTGCACCCGTTCTGGTGCCATCTGTACGACGATTCGACCCGCAACTCCTCGTTGCCCAGCCCCCTTAGTGTGCCTTCCTGTCAATCAGCGCTTTGTTGTTGTGAGCGCCTGGCAGCCACTTACTACCGCCTCATTGTCAATGTCGCTGGCTGTCACTGTCATCCTCCTCCGAAAATGTTTTCAAAAAGCATTTTTACATACATATCTCGCCGCTTGGGTTTTTGTCGAGAAGCCTGGCTTATAATTCATAAAAATTCCCTCGCAGACCCACACATGAGGCAGTCGACGATGACAATGTGGATGATGACAAACCGCAGACAAAGCGGGTAACAGGATGTGTTCTGTGTGGAGCGACCGACGAAGTTTCGGTTGAACCAGCTCCTTCAATCGACAGACTTGAGTAGACCGAGGGAGGGAGGGTGGCGAGGTGGCCAGACAGGAGATCCGCTTTGATGGCCCCACACCCTGGGCGCCGCTTTCAAGCCGTTAGGAAATGTGAAAAGAGCACTCTTCTAGATAACCAGAGTATCTACATGATCGACTCAGAAATGTATCCAACGGAATAAATTTTAAATTTGGTGTGTTTTTAGTCAGTCATCGTAGTTTCCTAATCACATGGATTACTTTCATTTATGCAGGTATGCTATGGAACTCATCCATCGTACAGATACACCTCGGTGCGGTTCCCCAAAAGTTGTATTCTTTCCTGACTAAGACTCTGGGCAGTACGGCGATATTGCTCCGCATAGCAGGAAAGTTCTTTCAAGACTCCTCTTCCAGGGCTAAAGCACAAATTCTGCTTTCATTCTTCTCTCTACTCCTGCCATTCAAAAATGATATGCCTTCTTCACCCTTCTTCATCTGGGTAACGGCTGTCGATATCCTTGCGCTTCCTCGTTTTCAACTTCCTGTTTGTCTAACTGACATGGGAGGACTGTTGAGTTGTCGTTGCTACAGCCATATCCTCTCATATTCCAGCGTTCTGACTCGCCACTTATCATGGATAAAGTCTAGAATTTGCAGCATTTTTTTTTGAAAACTCGACTAATTTGATCCCAAGGCGCTGCTTGAGCATGTCAGGACCCCTTCTTTCTTTCTCCTGCCTTCCCATCGCACGCTTCAGTGCCTCGCTGTGATTTCCTCAGTTCACCAAAGCGTGAAACATTTTTTCGCAACCTTGCGACCCTGCAGCCCATTCCGCCTACGCCTTTGCCCTCAACCCCATCGTCGCCCTTTTCACCCGCTATGTCTCCACCTCCTCACAAACACACTCACACAGGCACAGAAATTCAATATTGCTTCTCTATGTCTATGCTAATGAATAGCTGGCGAAGGAGGAAGACTCGGAGAGGAAGAGGGCAAGAAGAAAGGAAATAAACGAGGGACGCAGAGCAGGAGACAGCTATCGCCCCTCCAACCTTCCTCAGAGTCTTCCCCTTTTTTCCTCTCTCCTTTATTTATTTTTCCGGCTTCCTGTTGGGAGCTCTTTCTCTGTACGCTCTCTCTCCGCGCTACTCCACTGCCTTTTTGCGGTTTGACGCAGCAACTAAAAGTATGCAACAATTTTTTCGCGTGTTGCTTTTTGCATATTTAATGGCCGATTCGACGGCGACAGACAAAATGGCGGCGTCTCGTTTTTTCGGCAGCAAGTCCTCCCCAGCCCCTCCCCCCTCCCCCACTCTAGACTTTGCCAGCCGCCCTGCGGTTAGGCGTTGATTTGTGGGCGCTCCGCTTGTTTGTTGTTCCTGCAGTCGTAGCCGTGTCTATTTGAGGTTTGTGGGCGGCGAGTGGCTGGCACTTCCGCCCCTGATGTGACTTTAATGAACTGGGCGGCTGATGCTGAAAATCAATGGGGACAGGCTTAAAGTGCCCCGATGCCCGAGGCCCCCAACACATTTCAACGGCCCTTCAAACGTCTCGCATCGTCGAGTGCTCTTTTCCTTTGCGCTTGTCACAATAATAGACAAATACGGCACGCGGGGTGGGCAAACTTCCTTGCCAGACATCTGCAAATAAAAAAGTTGTCAACAGTCGTTGGCTCGCGACTGGTAGGCAAATTTTTATCGACGGCGGGTGCTTCAAAAACAGTGATGTCAATTGGTTTGATTGCCTTTGGCCCCCTGACCTTTAAGTTTACATTCGGGAGTGCATTATTGGCAACTTAAATTGTAAACTTTAAACTTAAAACAAATTTAAATAATCAAAAATGTTGCCCACCCCGATGTAAGTCCTAGCTCCGAGGTTGCACACTGGCTTCCGTTTGGGCTCCCTCAAATTTACTGCTGACTCTGCTTCTCGTGTCTGCAATGTCATTTGATTTGATTACAACTGAGAGGGGTCTCAAGTCGTCGCTGCTGCTTCTGTTGCAACTGTCTCTCGAGCTGATGGATTATATGACGCCGACTGTTTGCTGGGATGCGGAACCTGCCCGCATGTCTTTGGCTCTGGGCTAAGCCAGCCCCCTGAAATCGTAGCCAATTTGTCTAGTTCTGCAGAGAGCCCCTTCGCCGGCCCCTCCACTACATCCCCCTTTAATGCTATGATGTCTCTGGCTTGATTAGCGTCGCTGAATTGACAGAAATTGTCACCAGCAAGAGGCTCCTTTACCACTCACCGTGCAACTCCCAACATCCAAGTTACGATCCGAGAAACAGCCAACGCAGCCCAACACGACCCATCGTGCACAATTTGCGTCACTTGTTGGGTGCGCAGAAGTCGCCTAGAGCCCCTGCCCGCCCCTTCGGCGAAATCTGGAAATCTGCATTTTCGTTGCGTTTTTCACTCCGCCGAAAGCAGAGCGGCACGTCAATTGCTTAATTGATCAATTTAATTTGACACTTATTCAAACACTCGGAGCGTCGCGGGCTGAGCAAGATAAATATCTCTTGCTCCCAATTTCCTGGCAGTAAACTGGCTTTTGTGTTTCGATTTATGCAAATTGTGCCGTGCCATGTGGCCCACTGCGAGCGAACTTCCATGTCGAGAGCGTCTGCTGCCCGCTCTAGATTCTTTTCCACGAAAACTGTGCTTCATCAGTTAATCAATTGCTTTATGTTGTTTTTGTATTTCTCTGAGTTCTGAGTTTTCCCTCTCCGTTCGGCTGGCCACCCTTCCCCTTCTAGTTAATCAGGAAGTCCGCCCAGTGCACGGTTTGATGTTTAAACTCTGAGGCTTGCGCTCAGATTTGTTTTAGTTTTCCGGTCAACCCATAGGGGCGACCATAGAAATAGAAATCAAATGGCAAAATTTTGATTGATGGTTCCTCCATTGCCCCTTTAATAAAATTAAGGTTGCCTGCGACTCTCGGTCAACCGTATCCATACCGAAAGGCACCTGCTAGGATCATTAAAGATCGCGTTCTCGATCCAAGCTCCGCATGATAATCACAGGACCATTAGGCGGTGAATCACCAACCTGACAGGCGGCAAAATTGTGTCCGAAGAGTCTGGATAATGCCGCTCTTTAAGAGCAAATCGCGCGTGTAATTAACTAACTGTAAATTTCAATTTATGAAATTTTCTCGACTGGAAATGCATACAAGCTGACAGCGGCAGCATCGAAGGAAGAACTTGCTAGCGGGCAGGAAAACGGGAGACTGGCCGCCGGCAAACAAGTATCAAAGCACCGCCAGGTGCAGCGAGAGTCACTACTTCTTGAACCTACATCGTGGTGCATTTCTCAGCCATTCTAGGCGCTAGTGGGCCCTGGATGTTGAGAGATGAGCAATTAAGAGCTGAGTTATCGACAAGAGGGAGAAGTGCTCAGGATGAGCAATGGACTGGGGATGCAAGGATCTAAGTCTGCCAATCCGGCCACATCAGGTGCGTGACAAATTGCCGCATTAGGTCGACTGTGCAGGCCTGGCAGGCAGATAGGGTTACCTTTGGCTTGGGGCCGAGGTAAAAAACACCAACCAAGCTGGATGTTGTCATTTCCTAGATCCGAACCAGTAGGCCGACGCATAGAATGAGTTTTCCTTCTGCTGCACACCTCATAGCACCACAATTAATCCTGGACCGATCGAGGAACTGCAAGCATATCTGGAAGGGTCGGGATTCGTAATGAGTGCGACTTGGGACAGCCTTCGCCTTCTCTGTGTATAAGACCATTAAAATTAAATGAGATCAAAAGAAATTTGCAAGCTTAATACAAACACAGAGCCAGAACTGTCCCTTTTGACAGGTGACTGAGCTGCCGGCGTGTTCATTATCTTGCCGCCTTTTCCGCCCCACTTTTGGCCTTTTACCACAACTCTGCCGTTCGCATTGCATAAGCTAAATAAGTTTCTCGGGGAGCTTCTGCCTGAAAATGAGCCTGTGCTAGCCGGCGTTAAATTAAAGCAAAAACTGGCTTGGTCGTCGGTGAATGGATAACCAGCCGGAGGATGACGGGCAGTCTGTTTGCTGTGGCCGCTTTCTATGGCATTTCTCCTGACACTGCTCACATGTCTGCCCCAGCAGAAAATGTTGCGGAATAATGTTTAATGAAAAGCACACAGTCATCCTCTTCCTCCCTAGCTGCTGCTCGTCACGCACACTCACTTTGCATCCATTCAAGTCGGAGTCGACCAGGAAAAGTCAACGGAGGCGATGACTACAGGCTGTTGCAGACTTAGCCAGCTTTTGGCTTTTCTGGGGGCAAGTAGGTCTTCGATTCTCTCACAGTTTAAGCACTCTCGCTTTAAGAGGGAACAGTACCCAGTACCCACAAGGAAGAGATAGTTAGGAGCTCAATTTTTACATGTTCTTATAGGTTTATTATAGCTTATGGCTTAGATTCAAATATGGATTGCCCATTAAATATGTTTTTAACTATTTACAGCTCAGTAATAAGATACTCTATTCTTCGTTTCAGATCTTACTGCCTCTCCATAATCACAGCTATGATGCACACGTCGCCAGTTGAGGCGACCCCCAGCAACCTCAGCATGTTCTCCCGTCAGTGCCTTTCCCATCCAGCCCCCTCGCCACCCACAGCCGCCGTTTCCCGCCCTACAACCCGTGCCCCCCGATGGACATGGGCGCTCAGCTTCTGGGCGCTGGTGATCACCAGCGGTTGCTTAATGCTCAACGCACCGACGGCGACGGCATTTGATATCGGTAAGTGAGGGGCTCTAAACAGTAGAATTGATTTAGTAAGCGAGTCAGAAGTCAAGAAGTCAAGAGACCCAACCATACGAACACATCAAACTGCCCGCCTAGACACCTAGCTAAAGGGACGTCCTCGTACCGAGCTTAATTTAATTTAATTGACATTGAAAGCAATTTTGTTGCGGCCCGTCAATTTGCGACAGGCGGCATAGTTTCTTCAGTTCTCCTTTCCAACAGAAAACTGCCCTGCGGGTGGCCCCATCTGGACATGCTGCGGCATCCTCGAGCCAGCCACCCTGTGGCCCTGCGACATCTCCACATGGCATTCGGCCTGATGCTGCAGCTCCCACTCCAGCTCATTAATAGGCATATTGACATTTTTATGCTGCATTCTAGGCTTGCATTGAGGTCGTGGAAGACTGCTTTAATGAAGCCGTTGCGCGAAGGCTAGGGATTATCTCCCATTTGAGAGGCTATCGCATGTCAGAAGCTCATAAACCTTAGCCCTACTGGCACGAGGTATTGGAGTGAAAGAAAAAGGAAAATAAAAAGCTGTCACAGAGCTCTTCGGGCGAGGGCAAGGCAGTGGCCTGAGAGGAATCGCCCCATTGATCTCTGCAAAAAATTGCATTACAATAATTATTTCAGAGGAAGGAAATCAAATAATTTAAGAATAGGGAGAAAAGGGGTCATGTCGTGGTAACCTTATTACACGATCAACGGGCCATATTGAGACATTCAAGAGGACTCTTTATAAGTCACAATATCCTCCTGCCGCAATATTTATAGTTAATCAAGCAATCTAAATACATAAGTACAAACAAATAAACATGTTCATTTCGGGTCCCAGAACTGTGAGAACCGGCTGCTGCTATTGCCTCAGCAATATTTGCACTTCCCCCTCTCCCCTGCTCGAAAAGCAAACACATGCCAAAGGAGCACTCTGCCGTTGTTGGGGCTAGACACATCGAAGCGAGTTGAGTTAGCAAAACATGCAACAATTTTCCAAATGAATGCACTTGCAATATGCAGTATATGTCGGAGTCGCAACCGGATCCAGAGCCGGGGTGTGGGAGCTGGCTTTTGACCCAACCTGGCCCATGCACCCAGCCACTTCGCTCTTCATTTGCGTAGCCGGCTATCAAACCCAATCAAGTGTGAATGCAACAGAGCTACGACGACCGAAAGAGATGGCAGAGTTCGAGTATGTGTTCCGAGGGAATATTCCACTCCTTATGGGTTTTACAATACCCTACATCGGAATATTCATGATGCATTATAAAGTTAACTCCGATAGATAGTTTCTTAGCAAAACATAAAACTCTATATACCTAAATTGTTTGTTAGTTTTAGTAGTCAAATTAGCTGAATTGCAAGTCTAGACCCACAACTAGCGCAGCATTCATAACACAAAGTTCGATTTGAATTAGGTGGTTGACTTCTTCCCCAAGCTCTTTGCTCCCATTCGTTCCTCCTGCCCCTGATGCACATACTTTCCCGTGTGATTATTTATAAACTTCTAAACGAGTGCACGCAATCTTTGTCTGGCGCAGATCAAAAGTTGGAGTTGGAGTGCTGCGCGGTGAGCCTGCTGCGTCGAGGAAGCAAAAGTCATGTGAAATCAGTGTGGATTCCGTCGAAAATGTCAGCAGGCGACTGTCAGACGCCCGCTTGGGCTACAGAGCACTCCTACTCCTCTCCATCTCAAATCAAAGGAAAGTGTGAGGAGGAGTCTGCATCCTTTGCCAAGTGCCAGTCCAGAGATGACTTTGGCAATGATTAAGTGTTTAGTTCAGAAAAGGAGATATAGAGTCTTACAATAATGGAAAGAGATGGATGGGAGTACGACAATCGTCAAGCCTCAAACTGACAGATCTAGTTTCTCAGACAACATATATTCTTAAATATATATTTAAATACCCTCATTTTGATATAATTTTTCTCCTACTTACAGCCACGTGCAATGTGCCCCTGGGGATGGAGTCCTTAGTAATAACAGATGCTCAAATCACAGCGAGTTCAGCCCACGACATGGGTTTTGTAGGGCCTCAACATGCAAGGTAAGCGGGCCTTAAATGGTGAAGTCTTTACAGAAAGTTATTCGCCTTTTAAGACACATCGAAATCTATCTGATCTTCAGAGATCAGGTTTACCGGTTACAGATCAGACCAAGTCGTTTTAATAGATGCCTATTCGGCATCCCCTGCCCTAGCTCCCAGCTCATTAACCATTGAACCCGAAGATGCCCAGTGCTGATGATGGGGCTATCTCCGATGTGGCTGCCCTGCGTGTTCATTTAATTGCTAATTTTATAGACAACTTCGTTAGCCGATAAGGGGAAGGGTCAATAAAATAGAAAACTTTGGCCACCGTCCAAGCTGCCCAGCACTGACAACGAAATTTATATAACGACACAAACAGTTTGTCCATCAAATACCAATACCCCACATACAAAGCTTCAAAATACAAGACCTAGTTTTGCATATCTGGGGAGCAGGGAAAATAATATTTGGTCTTCGGCTAGCGCCCTTTGGATCGTGGAAGATCATCTTCTCGTCAGTGGAAATCTGTCCATGGATATCGAGCGACATAGCAGCCGTTAAATGGGAGACAGCGGGCGATTTCGAGGAAAGGTCGGCAGCCCTTGGCCGAGTAAATTAAGTGCGATTTCCAAAGTGCTCAAACTCGTTTTGCCTCCCAGAGCCACAAAGTTCCAGCGTGTTTGGAGCTACAAATTGGGGTATCCAGTGGAAGACGTTTGCTAGATTTATTTTAATTTTTCGGTTTTGTTTACATTTAATTGTCGCGTATGCATAGACCGAATGGACAGGAAGTTCATCGAGTGAAACGGAACTCGCGGAGTCGCGATGTCCGTTACCATGATTGATGACACCATCACATGGGCCAGTCTTGCCGTGTAATTAGAAAGGAATACCTTGGCGGAGTGGGTGAGCACATTCAGGGCCATAAACATGTCAATTACAGCATGAATTATGGCCAGAAATCAATGCAAAAACGACGTGCAGGGAGTAACCTGAAGATGCGTTCTAGCCCTTCCTTACTCCCCTGCCCGTAGCAATGTTCCATTCGCCTTTATAGACTTGCACTTAAAAAACACTCTCGTGCAGGGCTGACTGACAACCAAGCACCACTCTCACCAGGCACCACCACAAAGGCATCATTAACATTACCCCTTTATGGTGGTACTAAAATATAGCCACACAGACACCGCGTGTTGAGCACGTCAGAGATAAACAAAATATATTTGGCTGTGGTCGCCGCTTTTTTCTTTCTGTGGCAGATTACCCAGAATTTGTGCTAAGGAGGCGGCGGGGAGACGGATTCCAGGGCGAAGGCAAGGAGCACGGGATGGAGGTTGAAATCGACATGGGCTCTGATAAGTTGCCATGCGGGCAGCCTCTTTAGCAGCGGGTCGAGGCCAACTAGCCCACCTGAACAACCAGGGATAGCTCATGTGGTTGTGGAAATGGGCCGGAGCTTCGTGACAGACGATGTCCAGATGCGACCCCGAGGGTTTAGACTTCGGAAGAGTGAATGGGAAGTGCAACGTACCTTTAGGAGCTCTAATTAAAGAGTGATTCAGATGAAGCTTAAAACTTTTTTAAAAATTCACCACTTACTAGTTCTCCTCCAGTGGCCGAACTATTCACAGACAGAAAACCCTTGCGTCCCTCCGACCTCCCCCTTGCACAGACTGGCAGAAACTCTGCCAACTCCTCAGAGCTCAGAGTAACTTTCTCTTTTGTCTTTTGAGCCCCCCGAGTCCCCCACCATTCCTCGGCAGGGCCAATCAGGCGAACTGCAATTTGCTTAGCCGTAAGTTCCACGAAGTCAACCAGAAAGTTCAAAAGTGCAGGCAGCATTATAATTTTCGGCTGCCGTGCACTTACCTAACTAGACTAACTAGCTCGAAAAGATGTGCTCGAAAGCAACTTGACGTAATTCACTGGGGGAGGGGGAACGACATGCACTTACGACAAATCACTGGAAGGGACCAGGGCCCGCAGGAGGGCATGAGATGACTGCCATGCCGGCTTGTGGCCCGTCTGGGGCTATTGAATTACGGAGATTAGTTTAATGACAGTTGGCGCTGTTTGATTTTCATTACCGCGCCCATCCTCCAGGGCCGCCAAGCTATTAAGTTTACAACCTTTTACATATTGCAAGCAGCGAAGGGGAAAGATCCCCCGAATAGAAGTTTGAGTCCTCAGGGCCGGCACAGCGGTCAGGCAGTTAGCCAGTCCATCAGCGCTCGAAATGAGCAGCCGACGGTGGCTCAGATTGTTAACTTGGGCAATAACAATAATTAAAGTCAAGTTGAAATGCACATTACTGCGGATATTAGCATTTTAACGGACTTTGCTTAGCTCCACTACAATTTTTCGGACTGTTTCTGGGCGACTGGAGAACGGGCAGACGAAGCTGGCCGGTGGACAGGAGAAGATGGAGAGAAGCCTTATTTTATGATAATTAAATTGACCTTCTTACCTGGCCGTGGGATCAATATAATTAATATTTTACAGTGCACCCTAGAATTGTGTCACTTGGGAACTCCTTTTGAGCTCTTTCCAGAAGTATTTCGAATGCGGGTAGAGAAGGAAGCCCATTTGGCGAGTCATTTAAATGGGTTTTTATTGGACTCCAACTAAACTATGTCTCAATGCATGCAGAAGCGCATTACTAACGACTCTCCCCGAGGGCAGGGACTGGACATGAGCAGTTTCAAGATTCCGAGACAGCAGCTCTTAAAATCCCAGTTGGCTAGTAAATAAACATCGCAATCGAATTCAATTCCAATAGTCCGCTGGCATCTACAGGTTCGAGGCCTGATACAAGCGGCTAAATGAAGCAATTTGCTACGAAGCCAACGAAGGCAGGAGGCCAGGAGTCCGAGTCACTTGACTTGACTTGTCTTGGCTCCGGTCGAAGCGGGACTAGGCCTAGTAGCGCTCCCATGAGTAATGGCCGGGCATTAAGGCAGCCGAAATGCAATCAAGCATGTAAAACTTAATTGAAATATAAACCGAAAGTCGAAGCCGAAAACCGATAAACGAAAGCCAAAGTATAGGTGGTTAACGTTTCAATGGCATCTGCGGCACTGTGGGACTTGCGCAGGCTGAAGAGTGCTTTAAGTTGGCCCACGTCTGTCTTCAGTCCGGGAATAGGTTAAATTAATCCTTAATTACACAGACAACGTCCTGCTGTGTCTAAAACCGCAAACAGCTTAACGAACGAGACGAGCTGCTAGACGACGCACCACAAGCGCCATTGGTTGGAGTAGGGTTTTGGTAGGTGGTGGTGGTGGTGGCGGTGGCGGTGGCGATAGCGGTGGGGCTTCATGTGGTGCCGAACGCTTAATGTCAATTAATTTATAAAAATTCCTGCCCCCTGTCACTGGTTCTGCCGGCTACCGTGAACAGAGCCTGATTAATAAACCTATCTCGCTTCCCTCCCGTTTCAGACTGAAAACCGATAATAACGGAGGAGCTTGGTGCCCCAAGCACATGGTGTCCAATGCCTTGAAGGAGTACCTGCAGGTCGACCTGCTTCAAACGCACGTGATCACAGCGATACGAACCCAGGGCCGCTTTGGCAAGGGTCAGGGCCAGGAGTACACCGAGGCTTACGTTCTCGAGTACTGGCGTCCGGGCTTCGACAAGTGGCAGCGCTGGAAGAACATTCAGGGCAAGGAGGTAGGTCAACGGAGACATCCAGAGCATTCAGTTTCGGCTAACCCTCTCCTCTTAATCCTTCACAGATTCTGCCCGGCAACATCAATACTTACAGCGAGGTAGAGAACGCCCTGCAGCCAATCATCTTCGCCTCGAAGATCAGGATCTATCCGTACGGACAGTATGACCGCACCGTCTGCCTGCGGGCCGAGATCGTCGGTTGTCCATGGGAAGGTGAGTCCAGTCGGGGAAAACAAGTGGAGGCGATGATAACTTAAAGAGGCTCACAGACTGTTAGTGTCAGCGCCAACTTATCATTCCGTTGTGCTGTGGGCAGCATGTTCGCAATTAAAAGGGCGAAAGCGGCTTTGCTTTGGCTTAAGCCCGATTGGCTGAGCCCGATTGAGCTGACATTACCATACACTTACCGACTAACTGGGACTGTGAGTTACCGACTAAGGGAATGCGGGAAACGCAGACGCTCACGTTCCATTGGGATCTCCTATTTTGGGATATAGGATGGATAGGGAAATGAAAATGCTGGCCATAATCTTACAATAACACATAATCGAAAAGCTTTTTATAAGGTACCATATTTAGGGGCTCAGTTCTATATTGCTTAATTTCAAGTTTAAGTAAGTCTTCTATTAGGTTTCATTTTCCGTGCTATAAGCTTGTTTCACGAAAGCCCTCGACGTCTCCCCGATTTGCATGACCCACATGAAAATGGAAACACGGAAATTGAGGGTCCCACCCCAGTATGTGTAGTTCTCCCCCGAAACACGAAATCCAATCAAGGTGGCTATTTCGCCTTATGAAACGAAATGTAGCGCATTCCTGATTTTCCTCAACACATAGCCACCGCAACTTGACTTGTCGAGGTTACTTTTCACGCCGTGGTTACTGTACTAGTACTTGAAACATATCGCGTGCAGACATTGGAAAACATTCCATACCATACCGATTCTCGTGGCCAGACCCGACCGAAATCGAAATCCAGACGACTACTTGGCTGGCAGGCTATGCCCAGACTATGTCCCGACTGTCGTCCAAAACTGAAAAACAAACGAAAGGTTCATTTTTCTCTGCACTGGGAAAAGTGAGTGCTTGCGGCTTATTCTGCGATGTGAACAGTTTTTGACCAGATTGCGATTGAATTCAAATATACCCTACCTTAATATTTGATATTTTTAAGCCATTAATACTGTTCATATTAATGCTCAAGCGCCATCGTACCCTCTTGTCTTCTCAGTGTACCCAAACAGCATGATCAACCAGGTCTGCTGCTCTAACCTTTACGTTGTCGATTCTTGCACGCTATTGTCACGCAGTGTAGGACTTGAGCCAGAAAAAAGTCTGGACAAACAAATTCTTCTATAATTTCCATACGTTAGGGGAGAGTTATCCGCTGGGAGCGAATACGCAGAGCTAGACGGCAAAGTGCGCCTAATGATAATTTGTAGAGCCAGGTCCCAGAGGAGAGGGAAAAGGCGCGGAAGTTGAAAATTATTCTGTAAATTAACGCAGTGGTTGCGGCGTTTTGGGACGCGAATGGCAGTGGATAATTCGGGGAGCTCGGGTCTCGGGTCTCAGATCTCTGGTCTCGGGTCCCCAGATAAGTGACGCCATTTGTATGTGCGGGAGTCGGGCTACAGCAGTGACACGCCCACTTACAAATAAACGGGGGACTTGGGGTTGGCAGACATGCAAACTCCTGACCGCTCACATTTTGCGGACTATCATTTGATTTGCCACGTGGAATGTGAGCACGGGCACCGACATGGCGCATTTCATATGCAAATTAAACAAGATAAGATGGGAATGGATTGTGCTGGGAGAGGGCACGGTGGCCTGGTAGTAGATGGGTCTAGACAAGTGCCAGACAGCCGGACATAATGCCTGAAGAAATCAATAAATTTGTTTTTCATGTCAGCGTCGATTTCATTACGCGATCATTAATCTGCCCGAAAAGACCCGACTCAAGTCATAATTGCTTATAAATTCAGGCACTAAATTTAGGGATCTGGCTGCATTTGAATTTGAATCGATCAGACGCCACCTAGACGGGTGAATGGGCCGCTCCCGAAGTATTTCGGATTAGGGCAGCCCGAGAGCCCAAAGTCGTTAAAAGACAGGGTTCGAGTTGGGCGGCAGAGATAATCTCTCACCTTGACAACCGAAGCATGGATTAGCTCGAATTTGTTACGATTTTACAACAGCGCTGGGATCGCACCGGCCTGCATGAGCTGGAGTGCATTATAAATGCAGCACCTGATTAGTGCTAAGCCGGGGATTTATGGAACCCACTGTTCAGATGCCCATAATTTATGGTTACCGAAGTGGCCCTCTGCCGTGGAGTTGGAGGGTTCAGCGCAGCGAACTGGAGAAGCTTGGCTTGGGGGTTGGGAAACTGAAAGTTGAGCGACCAGGTTGTCTCAGGTGTGTCCAAAGACTTTGCAACTGTGAGGGAAGTACTCGCCCCACGTAGCTTACTTTCGAATTCTCTTTGAGTTCTACAAAGTCCGCTGGGGCCACTCAGTCATCCATCTCGAATCCTCAATTTGAGTCATCAGCAAAATGCGCGTTGACATTGTTGCCGTTGCCGTTGCCATTGGCTTCGGAGCCGTCTCCGAAAAGGGGGAAATACATTTTGTATATTACAGTGGCTGTGTTTGAAGCCCCGAAGCCCCCGAACTCTCCGCACAATCAGTCGCGTTCCTACTTTGCTCATTTTTTGGCACTGTGGGTCCTGCCCGCCGCCGCCCGCCCGACTGTCGCGTCACGCAAGCAAAGCTCCCTTGCAGGCACGCAAGTCAGGATGTAAGCAGACAGCGGAGGTGGGAGGGAGCCATCTTGCAGCCCACAGTGGGCCAATCTCTTCCTGGCATTGCGTGTACCTCGTCGCGGCAGAACAATTGTAAAACGCGCTGCCTTAAATTTCTTTGTAGTTAATTAAATATGCCATATAACGTTTACATTCGGTTTAATGCCGTGTCGGAAGACCTATCTTCCAGTTCGGTCGTAAGTCATGTAATTAAATGCGCCCGACCAGTCCGAGGGCCTTGAAAAATAATTCATGTTTTTGTTCGAGCTACGTCCTCCCTCTCAAGTCATCGATAACGGCTATTTGCCCAGCCGAACTTCTCATCATCATCGTCATTATCTGCATATGTCCAATGCGTGGGACTCCGTTCCCTTAATTATGTATAATTATGTGATTTTTGGTAATTATTTGAAAATTCCTTCGCCCGGTTTTCCGAGCCTTTCCTGTGAGGGTGCGCGTCCGGGTGTCCGTTCCCCACGTATCCCGATTGTGTGAATAGAAATTCTGGTGAATTAGTTAAACGTATGGCTCCCCCGACCATCAGTACACCCTACCTTTCAGGGGTGCACTTATATCGAGTGCCTGCCACCCTTGAATGGCGTATGTTGTTGGTCTTTTTTATCTGGTGTAAATGTTTTTGGGGCAGGGGGGAGTGCTATTCGATTTTGTAATTAGTGTCAGGTGTTTGCTATCGAGTGGTGCCAGATTGGTAGCCGCAGTTGCCTTGCGTGGGGATGGGCCCCTGCTTTTTGGTTACACGGATTCCGCTCTTTCTTCGGTTGGCTAATCCATTAATAGCAGGCAGGAAAACACATTGCTGAGCGAACATGACTCAGATGTGGGTCCCCTCCCCAGGAAAGCGTTTGACTCTGACATTGAAAAACTATACCCTCCCACAGCTCGGTTTCCCTTCGATTAATGTCCGACATAACCGCTGAAACAAATTCACAGGCAGGAAGAGTGAGAACAGGGGTGATGTGTTCGCATAACAAAGTGTCTCAATTTCACACAAACCTCCTCGTGGCAACCACACTGAAGGTTAAAGTAATCTCAAAACTAAAATTTCACCATTCAATAAAGTATATGATGTCCAATGAGCTTTCCTTTTCCCTTTGAGGGATCTATTTATTGGTTTTTGTAAAAAATAAAATGTTTCAGTGTACATCAGTGTACACTTTTTTGGGATTTCTCCTACCTCGCAATCCCCTCCATCGGCAGCTCAGGTTTCGCTATTTCTGTCTTAATGCTTTTGTTTCAATTCCCGGAATTTCCACACTCAGAAACTCAATTTGCGGCTTTTCTTTTTAACCGTTTCAGAGGGCATCGTATCCTACAGCATTCCCAAGGGCGTGCAGCGCGGCATGGAGGTCGATCTGTCGGATAAAACCTACGACGGCAACGAGCAGGGCGATCGCTATGTGGACGGCCTTGGTCAGTTGGTGGACGGGCAAAAGGGCAAGGATAACTTCCGCACCGACATTCACGGATTCGGCAAGGGTAAGTAACTGAACCTTTTTTTTTTTTGTCATTTTGAAAATACTTGCCACGTGCACGGCCTTGACTGATCAATAATATATATTGATATTAAGTTTTGACTCCCAATGGGGAAGTTGAAATACTACTTGTAGCTCTTACAGCAATATAAGTTTTTGTAAATAATTGAATCTCAAATGCAAGCTATTAAATCCCGATTCTGGTCGCGAATTAGGCATTTAAAGCGGCCCTAAAATCATGAATATTTTCTTCTGGCCCACAGTCCGGCGAGTTTCCCGCTACTCGGCGAGTTTCCGTAGAAAATGAAAAGATTTATAGCAAAAGAAAAAACTGATTAACATCAAATAATGACAAAAGTTCACCGACAGGAAAAGCATAGGGCGACGTCTGACCCCCATAGCGCCGCCAAAAGTTCACTTCATTGAACATCGATGGTGGCGCGTGGGGGAAAACTTTGGCTTTCGCAAATAATTTGACTGCACAACGCAATAAACAAAAATAAATAATAACTGAGGACCGTTGGCTGGCGTCGCAGTAAAACTTGCCCGGATACCGACCCGATATAGACACCCCGCCATCCCGCCATACCGCCATCCCGCCATACAGCCAGTAAAAATGTAAACATTATGCATAGTTGGTAATTTATGGCAACTCTGGCATTCATTTCCGCCCCAAAAATGCAAAAGTTTTGGAAATTGCGAGGCAAGCCGGTTTATATTTTTCCATGCTGCTCGCTTCCAGTGCCCCGCCTCGCGACTCCCATTGAATTCTTCACGGATTGGCCAATGGCCAATAATCGAAATTATTGACAACTTTACGCAGGGGCAGGGTTCGGTGAGACAATTAGACATGCAGTCGCTGAGTCTGTCGCAATTCGAGACGAGGTCGAGAAGGAGTCGTGGGGAGAACACGTTGCAACGAGTAAGTTTCCGGTGCACATCCCCGCCTTTATGGAACTATAAGCTCGTCTTTTGCCTGTCCGCATAGTAAGTGGGAATCAATAATGGTTTGGCTTGGCGCACCGTATTCCGCTTCCTGCTCCCCAAGAAGGGATTGAGTAAACTTTGGTTAAGTCTCGAATTCAATCCCTTAGGAAAATGGCAGCAGTGGCTGCAACCTAATATTGCATGATTTCGGCGGAAGGCCCCTTGGTGAATCCCACTCCCCCGTAGCTTAGAGAGCTAAGCCCCCACATGGGGACTCGATTCTGGTTACCCCACTGAAATTAGGGCCACGCAAACAAGGCAGCAGCAGAAAAAATGGCTTAACTGTCGCATTGGCCATTATTTCTAGTTACACAGAGCATACCCCCAGCGAAACCCTCTTTCGTGTGCCTGCCGTGAGCATTTATTTGTTTTCGGGCATTTGGGGAAAACTTCACCCCAAATGGCCCACTGGCAACGGCAGGTTGGGGGCTTAAATAGCTTTACATGTCAGTCCTGCACAGGGCCGGTCTATTGATTTTCCCCTCCCTCGGCTGACGTTTGAAATGTTCATTTTACTCCGTTTTGATGGATTTCATTCATTTCAGGTTATGAATGGATTGGCTGGCGGAACGACACGCCCGGACTGCTGGGAAAGCCGGTCGAAATTGTATTTGAATTCGATACGGTTCGCAACTTCAGCGCCATCGTGCTCCATACAAACAATATGTTTACCAAGGATGTTCAGGTGAGTGCGGCTTCCTAACTAGGACCCATTCCCCTACCTAACTATTAAGTGACAAAAATAATAACAAACTCATTTGGGTTGTTTTGTGCTGTAGCGTGTGTGAGTTATATAATATAATAACCCTCAAAACCCACCTATCTTCCTCAGGTATTTGTGCATGCCAAGGTTTTCTTTAGCATTGGCGGGCGCTACTTCTCGGGAGAACCAGTGCAGTTCTCCTACATGCCCGACACCATAATGGACCATGCCCGGGATGTGACTATCAAGCTGCACCATCGGGTGGGCAGATATTTGAAAATCAATTTGTACTTTGCCGTCAAATGGATTATGCTGTCGGAGATCAGCTTTATATCCGGTGAGTACAGTACGTGAGATGCTGGATGTAAATATGAACGAATCTGGGAGGGAATTGCATTTGCCATTCGAGCAGGCCGCCCGAGGAAATGGAATTGCATGCGAACAAATGCATTTTTCAGCTTCATTTCACTCTCGATTATGCGACAACACAACGGATTGGGATGGAGGGGGAAGCAATGCATTACTCTTAACAGGGATAAAACATTTTTCCAACATTTTGGCCAATAACAATGGGCCACAGTAAACGACGAGCAAGGAGGAGCGGGCAAGGGGCTTTGCAGAGATAAGCGAACACAAACATATTCCTCCGACTGGAAACTAAAGTCAATTGAAAGCGCAGAACCCGTCTGCTCACTAAATATAAACAATCCGAGACTTAAGGGTAGATATACCCCCAACTGAAACTCGAGGTATGCTTTGCTTTTCAGCTTATTCTTCTCTGAATATCCTGACATGTTCTGATTAAAATTTCTCAGAGCCAGGGTCTTTCCCGGATCAACCCTCCGATAGCAATTACTTCGATTGAGCATATCGGCTCGGTCAGGCAACCAAAGATCGCTTAATGCATTGTGTTCCCAATGGAGGATTCACGTAAATCCCGCCGCCGCTAGGTGTCAAATGGGACGAGGGGAGGCAGTCCCCTGGATGATGAATTTGATTGATGCGTTCAATAAAGCGTGCCGTATGAATAGGGATTTTCGAGACTATACTTTTCCGGCAGATGGCACTCGAATTTAGGCAGGGAGGGGAACCTAATAGTTTTATCAAACGGGATGGTGCTCAGAAATCGAACCCTAGTCAGATTTTTCTAGATTTTAAGAAGTCAATAGGAAGGACAGCATATAATCTGAAAATCAAATAAAAGGAATTGAAAAGGGTTTGTAGATTTGTTTTGTTATTTCAACAAAAGATGAGCTGATGATTTTGAACCTTGAGCCTTGAAGTTCTCAAAGAAAGACCCATATTGGGAAAAGTAATTCCTCAATAATTCCCGAGTGATCTGGACGATCGGTAGTCCTGAAACGTTTTGCCGAAGGCATTACATGGCAAAAATCTTTGACAAGGCAGAGAGCAAGAGCCAAGGATAACAAAAAGCGAATCCGCAATACGAAGCAAGTAACGTACTCCCATACTGTGCCCCGTTTCCATGCGGCAATTACATGACTAGCCAGAAAACAGAAAACAGAAAACAGAGTCGTCGCAACGAAGCATTTGTCACGCACACAAAACGACTTGGGATGGGTTGGGATCGCGCTGTATTTGCGGAGGGGGAGGAAAGGACGGCTAGGAGGCAGGGACACCACTAGGGCAACCAGCTGTTTTTTATTCCGTACGCCTCGAGTGCAGGCCTCAAACAGCGACAAACTGGGGTAAGGGTAAACAAAAGAAACGCACGTTCAAAATGGTAGGGAAGCATCTTTCGAGTGTGTGCGTATATTTTTATCAGGCACTGTGCGAGTGTACACAGATTTAACCCCAATTTGTGAGATTTGCTCGCGGTGATTGCAGTCGCTGTTGTCAGGGAGCTATATTCGCTTTTAGAGGTTTCTAAAAATACAAAGGCCAAAAAATAAGAAAACAATGGCAGGACTGGAGAGAGACCCTGGGGACACACAAAGGGAATTAGTTATAAAAGGCATGCGACAAGAACAGTGAGATCTGCGCAGTGTGGCAAAGGACATGCGGCATATTCGCCATTACCCCGCAGTCCCGTCCGTAGCGCTGTGTGTGTGATAAATGTGGCACGAAATATTTTAATTATTTTAAACGTTTTATGGCCCTGTGGTCGCTCAGTCGGGTGGTGCCAGATACTCCTTTTGCAAAAGGGAAGCGGACGGGAAAAAAACGGCGCCTCCCGCCACCAGAAGGACAATGGCAGTGTCGAAACAAAAGACACCATCCAGTCCTGTCTGAGATCCAGGGACATAACTCAAAACGGCGTCCCCAAACTCCACGACTTTCCCGCAAGAACTTCACACAGTAATTACGCCATTTACTGTCTAAAGAAACGAGGTCACCCACTCGAGGAAACGCTTTTTGTTTGATGAACAGAAATCGGGTCTGTTTTGTTATGCCCCGAAGATGTTAGCAAGATAAAAAACATTTCAGAAGACCTAAGCAGGGGTGGGAAAACTCGGGGATCAAAGCGAGCACAGGCGTTGCAGTAAAGGTTACTGCCTGGATGCCTTCATGAGGTAACTAGGCCTAGAGGTAAGAGGGGCAATCGATGATGGAATTGGAACTTGAATTGAAAAAGTAAAAAATAAAGATTTTATATTATCGTCTTATACATCAAAATGGAAATGGATGAACTCCAATCTAACACTTTACGTTGTTCTTCACCTTCAGTGCCCGCCCTGGGAAATTTCACGGACGAGCAGGAGCAAAGGAGCAACTCTCCGAGTCAGACGCAGGATACCTACGACGACCCTAGGAGCAACGAGTACCAGCCCAACAGGAACAAACCGAACGGGGTTGGCGGCTCTGAAGGAGGCCCTGGAGAGGGCGTGGCAACGTCGGGGGGCAGTCCCGGCGGCAACAACAAGTTCAACAACGGCCCGCAGTGTGAGTAGCCGAATAGCATGATAAATGCAATTACTATCTCACATTTTCCAATGCTGCCCGTCGGGCCATTCGTTTTTTCGAGTCCCCGGACACGGCTAATTATTTAGTTAAACAATATTTACATTTAATTTCGATTCGAGGCGCGCGTTTGTTAATTTACATTTCAATTTGCCCTTTGCTCTTTTCCGGTTCTGTTCATTCAGTAATTGCGCCGCGCCCCATCGATCAGGAACCGAGCGACGCCAACTTCATCGGAGTGGTCATTGTAGTCCTGACGACGATAATAATCCTGCTGGTGGCCGTCATCCTGTTCATTGTCTCGCGGACGAAACGGGCCCGCGGCAGCAACGTCCTGGACGCGTTCCAGTACAGCTTCAATCCCAACACCCTCGGCGGCAACGTGGACAAGCACCGTCCGAACGGTAACAGCATCAAGGTGGGTGTAGAGTTAGGTTGCGATGAGGGTTTTGATTGGGATGTGTGTGCATAGTGGACGGGAAATTCCTGTCTCAAATTTTCACATAATTGCTCAATGTGGCGTGGAGTTTCCACACCGCTTAGTTCCACGTGACCAGCCCAGTCGGGCATTTACTTAATGGGACTTTTCAACGCCATGCGACAGTGTGCGTGCTCTCCTGATTTGTGGGGGTCAAGCTTAAGTGGCCATTGAGGTGGAACTGAAAAGTTGGACTTACTGAAGGTGGTTAAATTGTATTAAAGAAGGTTAGGTCGAGTGAAGAGAAAAAGTTCTATTCTTTTCTATTTTAAATAGACTAATACAAATATAATATTATGTAATAAATAATATTCAGGCAAAGCCATGGATTAAAATTTAACCGGTGAACTTATTACCCAACTTCAAGGTTCAATCCAGGCTTTAAATGTATAAGCTCCTTAGCATTGGGAATCTGGCAAACTAACTATTTCCTCAATTCCGTGCTCTTTCAGGCCAGCGTGGACGACAATGACTCGATAGGCAAGAACAGTCTTTACCACGAACCATTCAATGTTAACATGTACACCAGCGGCGTGAACGGCTATGCGGCGGTTAATGATTTACAGTGCAATATGACTCCAGACTATACAGGTGTGTAAGTCCCTTTGACCCTCCTCCTTAGCCCCTTTAACCTAGGCGGAGGACGTTTCCGCTGGCTGGCGCGTAGGTCCATAAAATATGGCGTCGCCGGCAACTAATGCAAATAAATTTTTGTGGCAATTTCCCTGACTAAGCAGACATTTCCCTGCCCTTTTCTCCCCGTGCCCTTATACCGTGAACAGATGTGCCGGAAGGTGGTTACGCCGTGCCCCACATGCAGGACTATATGCCCTCATCGAAAATGGCTGGTGGAGCGGTGGGCGGAGGAGGCTATGTGAACGTGCGTCGCACTCCGCCACCACCGTTGAGCAGCATTTTTCCTCGACCGCCCACAGTTCCTCCGCCACCCATGGAGAAATATTACGCCACCACGGCCATCTTTAAGCCTCTCAAGGGACCGGGCTCGGAGCGCAGCGGGTGCAGCAGCAACACCAACACGGTGAGCAGCGGTGGCGGCAAGAGCAGCCACAGCCACAGCAGCCACTGCAGCACTGGCGGTCAGGACCACAGCGGCATCTATGATGACGGCATAGGCACCATGAACTCCAAGGCCACCGCACCCATGATCAACCCATATAGCAGCGGGAACAGCTCCTCGGCCGCGGCGGCCGCTGCAGCGGAGTTTCAGCGGGCCCGGACCTACAACTTCCGAAGCTACCCCGACAACCTCTAGTTCGAAGCCTCGCTCAAGTTGGTGACCGCAGCCCCCAAATGGGGTACCGCGGCTCCCACCGGCAGCACCACCATGCCGAAGAAGCCGCAGCACCTTAGTCTGGCCGCCAACATGGTCGGCGGATACGGAAGCGGCCCCAGCAAGCCCAAGTACAGTCTGACCCTGCACAACAACAAGCTCGCCGCAGGAGGCAGCGGCGGCACAAGCGTAAACAAACATCTGCGCGATGGTCACCTGCAGCGCCAGCATCTTAAGGCCATGGAAGGAGTTATGCCCGCCGAGGATGTGGTGGGCGTGCACCTGAAGGCCACTGCGAAGGCAGCGGCTGCCACTGGCGAAGCTTCGAGCAATATCACCAGGTCGATGGGGGAAAGCATCGTTGAAAAAGAAGAACCTAAATACGGAAATGACAATGAACAGGGAAGCGGATTGGCAAACGGTGTCATGAGGGCACAAAGCAACAGGCTGTGGTATCATTGATGAAAACCCCATATTGAACGGAATTAAGGTGAGTTACCGCATCCTTTTACCTACCAGTTCAAATGCGTTCATTAAAGTCCACTTTTGAGGAAACTTTCTGACTTAGTCGCGAATAGGCAGATAATATCCTGCAACACCTTTATTACATTATATAGTACAGTACACCAGCACCATAACTATTATTATTGGTTTTCATTATTCTATTATATTATTTAAACTGTAAAAACCTTTTAATAAATCAGCACTGTCTCTCGTTGTTATTTGATCACCTACAGTGAGATCGTCTGCACGGAGATCCAAATGCTAATGCCACCATAACTAAGAGAAGGATGTTACTCTGGAATTATATTCACCGACTTAATGCCGTCGGCAAAATGTCGAATCTGACACAGAGTCGCAAAGTTGGAACTAGATTTAAGCCCAACAATTGAACCCACTGAGCAAACGATAAACGCAGCGAATCGAAATCGAAATCGAATTGGAAAGAAAGTCGCCTATCAATCATTTATAGAGTAAGGTCGATAATATGCCAACACTGTACGTAGGTAATGGAGAATGCTAGAAACACCCTGTAAATATAGAAGTCTAGGAATCGGTAGCGAACAACACGCATACGAGTATACACACATGCATCATGCAGGCATGCATACATACATAATAGCGAGCGAATTAAATTTCAAAGAGAAACCAGGGCGTCTATTGTGTATCATGCTTTACTCAAGAGAAACATTTAGACGAATAAAGAGAATATTGAGACGAATTTAAGGTCTAGCGTTTAGCGACACAATTTGTTTATAAAACGAAACGAAGCAAGAAATCATATTTAATATAACACCTATACGACTAACTAGCCTATAGTAACGATTAACTGATTTGTAGTACTTTGTCAGGAAGAACACTGAAAATCTGCAAACTAACTGTACATGCCTGTGAACCTACCCCTGAATAAACCTGAACTATCTGACCCCTGTAAGCGCCTACACTCACACTACTTAAGCCCCTCTGTACATTTTCTGTGTATAAACTTATAGAAATAGATTGTTTGCTATGGATGGAAACGACATGTTGAGCAAAATTACGTAGGGAAACCTCGGACGAGGGAATGATGATAAAATTGTAACGGAATTTAACGGACCAAGAGAACGTGCGAGCGACTTCGCCCAAACCAAGTAATGTGAAGTTTTCATCAATGATTTGTGATTCAATATTCAACTATTTATAGACACGCAGACGCGAGTGTTCAGTTCTTAATGCTAAAATTTATTTATCAAAACGTACTACCCGCAAACAAATGACTCTGACTATAAAAAGCACTATGAATATTAAAAGAACAAATCGTATTTATAGTTAATATTAATGGATAATCATGTATATGTTCCTTTTTAGTTTAATGCGCATTAGTATCACCCAAAACATTATTAAGAGTTAAACGTAGTAGCTTCGTAGTAGTTTTATAAAACAGCAGCAAAGGATAACATAATTTTAAACAACCGGATACATAGGCAAACAATAGGCGAGTTGGAAATAGCATTTAATATGAACGAAACAAGACACTAAGAAACACTCATTACTCACACTAAAAACTAGTTTAAATAGTAATACAGTTAAACAATAGGCATACGCTCCACACAAACAACTTTTGAAATGTTTGGGCAAGAATTTGCGAATTTTAACATGGAAGGGGATAAGCAACTTAAACTTAAGCAAAAGGTTAAAACAATATTTAAGATTATTTAGCAAAATAGGCTTCGCGATATGACCGTAAATATTTCTCAACTTTCTGCACAAATTCTTAACTTTCCAACTTTCCATTGCACCAAAAGGGTTGCCAACACTGGCCTACACGACACAAAGAACCACTGCAAGACAAAACACTGTCCGCCACTGAAAATTACTATCGAGCAAAAACAAATCACGAACCTACCTACAAGACTTGTGTATATTAAAAACAGAAACGAAAGCTAATTAAAACGACTAGAGATTAAGTTAAAAATACACTTTGTAAAAATTAAAAACTACACTGTAAAAACTTATATACTAATGTAATGGTTATCCGGTCTTTTGGAAATCACGGCAATTGTCATAAAAATTGTTTATTTACGGTGCGCTTGGTGGTCGATATACCGACTAGTTTAATTTCTAAATTAATTTAAATGCATTTATTATGTGTACATTTTTCAAAGGCAAATATATAGTATTCAATTATTTAAACCGCAAGAACCCGCTCCTTTCATTCAATACTCATGATTTGTGGAAGGTGCTTTCGAAATGGTATGTATATATGAGCGAAGGCCCTAATCAGTTTATCAGCTTACTTTGGGATAAAGGTTAAGCTTCAAGAAATCAAGAAAACAAGATGGAGAATAGTAAATCGGTTCCTATGCAACTCATATTGTTCTCCAAAATGTTTAACCTTTACCCTTTTTATACCCTTTAAGAGTGGTGCCAGAAGGTACATTGTATTCGATAAAAATTAAGATTATTATTTTCAATCAGTACCGATAGTCGGATTGATGTAGCCATGTTAGCCTGGCTGCATGACCGCTGATATCCCGGAAAGAACAAGAGCTTAGTTTTTCAAAATGTATTAATAAATGTATTAAACAGGGGTTGTGATGTCACGTTCAGTTAATAAACATGCTTCATTGCTTCTTTGTTTTTGCTAGAAAAAGGTTCTAAGCTACTAAAAATCTTTGTATTACCTTCAGTTAGCCTTCATCTAACATGACCTTTATGACTTATGTTGTTGAGGGAGTGAATAATATCAATAAAAGTGCAGCAAAGCAATCGAAGACTCCACGTACACAAGATGGGCTATTTAAAGGCACTGCATAAACAGAAATACTCTCCAAAGATAAACAGATGCTCATCATCCGTTTTTGTAAACAACCTTTCAATAGCCGTCTCCTTTGGGACCTAATCTACGAAGTTAAACAAAACATAAGTTGGTGTTTAAATAGTACAGAAGGCCCTTATATCCCTGAAGCCTTACCCGAGCTCTTGCGCTCTATCTGGCACCCACCAGGGGGGTGATAAACCTTTCACTGACCATCTGTTTTAATTCCACATCAATGCTGATTGAACACAAAAATCGGAAATAATATAATTGAACTATTCACCTCAAATTGACGTCTGCTCGCCACCCAGCACGTGGGTCAGTCGGCAACAGAGGCCAGAAGAGCACACACATTAAACCAACAAAGCGAAATCACCCTAACCCAACTAAGGCGTTATTATTAAAGTTAATGTGAAGCCTTATAACCTACATTTCTTCATAAATGGCGAAAAAGTGTTCCGAATTAAAAATCTTTGGTAAATTGATAGACTTTGACAAAAATATTTTATACAAGGTCAAACAAAGTAATTCACTATAATAATATGGACTCCCCTTTTTTTTGCGGTTTGTGGGCGTCAGAGTGGACGTGGCCGGATGAAAACTCGTGGCAAGTTGCAGGGACATCTCTTAAAGACGTATTCATAAGCATTCTAGCATTAAAATTTCCCGAGATTCTTGCATTTTTGGTTTTCCGATTTTTGTGGGCGTTAGGGTGGGCGTGGCTTGATCGAAAAAAACAATTCGCATTTTGTAGCTCTTATAGTTTTCGAGATATTTGCATGTTTGGTTTTTCGGGTTTTGTGGGCGTTAGAGTGGGCATGGGAGCATCATAAAAACCTACATGCTTAATCCGAACTTTCTATCTCTTTTAGTTACAGAGATATCAGCTTTTCTAGAAAATCCGAAAACCGTCTTTTGAGCCTTGTGGGCGTATGGGTGGGTGTGGCCGGATAGTAGTACCACTTTAAGATGCGCTGGCATCTAAAGATTATACTTTCTGAATTTCAACTTTCTAGCTCCAAAAGTTCCTGAGATTTCAGCTATTTTAGTTTCTTGCGATTTGGGGGCGTTTGAGAGGGCATGGCAGGATGCTGTAATAAACTTGCGCTGCGTAGGGACCTCAAGAATCTTCATGGTTAATCTCAATTTTGTATCTCTTATAGTTCCTGAGATCTCAGCGTTCATACGGACAGACGGACAGACAGACGGACATGGCTCATTCGTCTTCTCTATTCATCCTGATCAAGAATATATATACTTTTTAGGGTCGGAAACGCTTCCTTGTACCTGTTACATACTTTTCAACGAATCTAGTATACCCTTTTACTCTACGAGTAACGGGTATAAATATATCTACTCGGAAAACTTCATTCACAAATCAGAGGGGGGTGCTATTTGAAACATTTAAATAAAGTGTAATAAGAATAATAACACACAATGAAAGGCACGGCTGTGCTTTAATTGACACTTTCGATTCTTCGACACCAGAGAACGAATAAATGGATGGACTGATGAACGACTGATTGACAGCCATCCGTTTCGCGGGCAATTCCAGCTGTCCCACCTGTCAAACATGCCGGGCCAAATTAGTTGAAAGCCGTTTGCGAAAGGAAAAAGGAACAAATGTATTTATTTCCTCCTCTCTGCCTACGGATTTTGGCTGCTGCTCTTAAAAATGCGTGAAAACTCTCAACTCGACGCATTGTCTGTCAACCCGCTGTGTTTGGTCCGAACCCTTCGCCTAGTGTTAAACGATTTTATTTGATTTTATTTTACCTTATTTATTTTCATAGCACTTTTCGGTTTTGTGTCCGTTGTTCTTTTTGCAGGCTTTCAATTTGTAACACTCGTCGTCGTCGTCGTTTGTCGTCCCACTGAATGACTTTATTTGTTGCACGATTTGGACCTTCCGAAAATATTTGCCAATAAGGGATAGTCCCACCCTTGTCTATCTGAGTGTGTACTTTGGACTGGATCCTATATGACAATGTAAAAGCCAGTTTATTTGCGTACTAGAATTGTTGATCAAGACATAACCTATCTATCTGTTTTTATACCTACGTTACTTTAATAATTCCCTGTTAACGATCGACCAATAATACTTTCCCTTTAATCTGAATTCAGCAAAATATTAATGACATTAAATGTCATTAGACACCCATGTTAAGCAAGAATTTATTATTGCCGAAGACTGGGCCCCTTTTCCCCTGCATCTCTAATTTGTTAGTAATGCTTAAAATATCAGTCGAGGCTGAGTAAAAATGAGTTAATACGAAAGTCGGCCTTTTCACCCTTTCCCCAATATATATTTATCGAGATATCCTTCGGGTGCTTGTGAAGGTGTCAGCACACTATTGCTGAGCATTTAGCAGGGCTACAGAACTAAATCGATAAATCGTGGACAGCAAGACTAAGCCATTCGAATAATATCACTGCATAAGGGGGCGGGAGTGCGGGAGCAGCAATTAACACACTCGAATCTTGAGTTACGCAAGCAGCATTTGATAGTTAGATAAACAAATACAAGTGCCTAGCCACACACACGCGGACAAAGGAAGCCGGCAAGGACGTGCGGAAGGAAGCTGCAGCAGATAAGGTCTGGGGGCCAGAGGGAGCGAGATAGGGACTCCGAACCGACAGAAATGCAAGGTAACATGCAAATTGACAGACAGGACGTTTGTCAGGACATGGGCAAACACAAACACTAGAGCAAACAAAAGTCGGATAGGTGCGGGGTGGGTTGGATCGAAGGGAAACGTCATCACATGAATCGCATTAGTTGCAGTGGACACAGACAGCCCAGACGGACAGACAGTTGGACGGACGGCTTCGTATTTCACTTTGTTTTTAAGCGGTTCTGCATCGAACGAGCTTTCCTATGCAAATACACCATCCTCGGCGGGCTTTGTGTGTGGCGGGACTAG